GGCTTGCCTCAGGATGGAAGGAGGAATGATTGTGGGCTTGCCTCAGGATGGAAGGAGAAATTGCTGTTGCTGGCAAAGCTGCTCTGCTCTCAGGAGAGTTAGGATGAGGAAGAAGAAAGATATTTGTTTCAAAATAATTTAATTGCAAGGTTTCAATTTCTTTCTTTCTTTCCTGTGGGTGTGCTGGCAGGCTGTAAGAAAGAGAGTGTTCCTGCTTGTAGAACTAGCAACAACTGAGACCAGAAGTCCCTTTCTCTGTTTTCCTTCCTGTATTCTCTTCTGGGCTTTTTTGTTGTATGATAGCACTGTTAGTTAAATCCATTCGTTAATGCAAACATGATATAAGTAGGATGTATTAGCTGCAATTTTTATGACTTAACAAACTTAGATTTTTAAATTTTTAAAAAAATGTAGATTAGGCTGCATTTCTCATTTGTCAAAGCCTCAGTGCTTTACTTCAAAAAATTATTTTCCTGGCCACAATGTACAGCAAGATCAGGGCATCTTCATTATTCTGACTGAATCAAGGGTCACTGTATGTGTGGGATTAATATGAAATGTGAGAGCAGGGGTAGGGACTGATACAGCTTAGAAGTTGCTTGGACTCCCGCAGGTCTTTGGTTCTTTAGGTTTCTTACAAAAATACTTTAATATGTTCCTTGGGATAGGTTAACTCTTTGTCCATTATATATTTCTTTGTCTGTCAAGCTGAAATGTTAAGAGGAGCTTGGTTCTCCTTTCCTCAAGAGATGCCAACTTCCCGAATTATGTGACAACAGGTACAAGAGAGAGACCTTCTTGCATCCCTCCATAAATATAAGCCTATGGCAGCAGTTTGGGGAAGCCAAGCATTTGTCTCAAGGCAAGGATCCCAAGGAAACAGGCTCCAGGTTTGGGGGGTTTTCTTTCTTTGTGGAGCTTTTTCTCAGGCTCATCCCGTAGCAGCTTGCTGGCTGTTGAGCTTAGCGCTTTCTTGCTGCCTGCAGGACGAGGGCTTGGCAGTAACCGTGGGACTTGGGCTTTATGAAAGTCCCAGATGCGATGCGATTCTTCTTTCTTGGGGACCACAACTTGATTTGTAGTTCATTTTAATTGTAATCCGTGGCAGTTCCTTGAGGATTCACGCTGAACTGGTCTCTGCGGGGCTTTGCACTGGGCACAAATGTTAAAAAGAGAGCGCTGCTTCTCTAACCATCTGCGATACAATAAATGAGATGTGCATGGGGGGTGGAGGCGATAAAGAAAAAAACATTTTCTGCCCTTTTTGTTGAGAGGAAGCTCAACTGTGAAGAGGCATTGCATCATGAGCTCTAATGAAAGACCAGCTATTCCCTTTGGGGAAATGAAAGCACTTGCCTCATTTCCCTCTCGCTGGCAGCTGTTGCTTAGGAATTTCATTTGAGAATTAAATGCAGCTTTGGTTGACCTGAGGAATGTCTTTAGTACAAATGGCCTCCAATGGTGTGTGCAGTAAGTGTTAGGAAGAACAGCATGATTTTCCCAGAAATTAATAGTTTGAACTAGAAGTAATGTTTTGGACCCAGAGACAACATCTATATGGATTCTGATGCATTCAACTGTCTCCTTGAGACTAATTTTTATCTTTCACGCCTGTGCTGGGCTGAGGAAGTAGCAGACAGCATGAGAAGCAGGAAATGGAAGGAGACCAGGAGTTCTGATGAGGAAAAGACAGTTAATTGGGCGGGGAGAAGGAAGGAGTAATGACATGACAGCCATTACAGAGACTGTCATTTAGTTAAGTGATGGAGGAGTCACACCTAACTCAGGTTTGATTTTTTTTTTTTTCCAAATGAAAATAATATTGAAATGTTTTTGTATTGTTTTACAGAGAAAATTCCATGGTTTGTTTTTTTTTTTAAACACTAGCATGCAGAAGTGCCATTGTTAAGCCCAGCAGCATCTAGGTTTCGGCTGACAGAAGAGGACACAGCATGAGCTGCTCTGCTGACTGAGCTTGTACCTCACCCTGCTGCTGTGACATATGCAAGGATCTGTAGTTAGGAGACTCATCACCAGGCCTAACTTTTGAAGAAAGCCAGTTTCACAATTCCCAGCGTACATACTCTGTGAGGCGTTGCACACTGGGCATTTCTGCAGGGAGCTGGGGATGAATCAGCTGCGTCTGAATTGGCCAAGAGAGGAATTGTCTGGCTGGAGTGTGCCACCCCTGGCACCTCAGCAGTGTGCTGGCTCCCAGGAGCTGTGCCGGGGGTGCAGAACGTGCCTGGGGGCATGGGAGGGCCACAGTGGTGGAAAAAGCAGCTTTTGTCCTGGGCTGGGTGAGCCACCAGGTGACACAGACTGACTTCTCTCACCAGATCAGGCAGAACTGTGAAAAGAACCAATGATAGACATGCTTGGCTGAAACCTCTAAATCTCACCTCTGAAATGCCCTTGCTCCTTTGTTTAAAACAGCTGAGGTTGGAGTAACTGCTTTCCCAATAGTCCCACCCTGAGCAGGTGTGGCTTCAGCCACTTGGTGGCCATTTCAGAGCAGCAGGCATACCTGATACTAGCATATTTTAAAGCATGGTAGACATGGGTTAATTACCGCTGTTACTCTGCTGTTGTATTGGGTGTCTCAAGGTCTTCTACAGATAATAAATAGATTTACCTGCTGAGATAACAAAGTGGAATTTGATCTTCTGGGCCTAAGTAGAGTTATCAGAGTTACTTCCTTTAGTGGGTCCTGTTACAAGGTGACAAGTACAGAAGGAAATAAGAGGACTGTGGGAAATGAGGTTGTCAAGTATTCTTCCATTCCCCTAAGTATACTGGTCAAAAAAGACTTATTTATCTTATCTTAAAGCATGGCTAGACAAAACTGTATGGCAAAAGTTAATTGCCACTGTATACTGAGAGCAGTTCAGCTCCAGAAATGTCAGACAAACATTATGTGTACCATGTTCAACTAGGGTTGAACATAGGAAAGGTGGTGCTTTCCTTTTTTCTGGTTAATGTTTTCTCTTGATGATAATGGATATTGTGGATACCTTCAGTAATCGTGGTGGCAGTCAGCTCCAGCAGGGTAGATGAGAGGTACCTGCTTGAACAATCAGCGACGGAATAGTGATAAGTATTAAAACTGAGGTGCCCATTGTTGGAAGTTCAGTGTCGGTAGCGTTAGCAGAGTGGAGAGGTGTCAGCTCCACGACATGCTCGTCTCTCTGAGGGATGTGTCTTGGCTGGTATCCATGTGAAGGGGCTTGTCTGCAGCTACACAGACTAGGAATGTTCCAAGTTAACGCTTGGGTTCTTGAAATCAGTCATAGAGATGTCAAATTTATTTGTCTTGTAACTATTAATTGTCCCCGAACAGAAAACTACAAAGCTGTAGGGGCCTGTGGAGAGATGAGGTGAGAAATTTGGGTAAAGCTGTATCTGTCATTATTGTAGCAGTGTGGGGAGGGGGGAGATGAAAAAATAGAAGGGCAAGAAAGCTTAATTTCTGTAGTGAGGATAAAAACTTGGATTCTGAAAACACTTAGTAATTTGGTATTTTGTAATAGACTGGGCAGTCTGGCAACTGTGCAAGATGCTGCATAATCTTATTGTTGTTCTTACGGAGCTGACAGGAGGCTGTGTTCAGCTGCTGTTCCTTTTTGCCTCAGTTTCCTGGTCTGTGAAATAAAGGTGTGTTCTCTGTCTGATGCAGGAAATCAGTATCTGAGCCCAGATCAGAATTCAAGGCCTCTGGCTTCCAGTTCTCCATTCAGACCACACCTTTCTTTTTATAACTGTGGGAAAAAAGTCCACTCCAGCATGTCATTTAGTAAAATACCGTATAGAAAAAGCAAAACTAAGCCCCAAAGAGCTAAAACTAGCTGGTTTAAAATTAGGAGACAGAAAAAATTCTGCAGATTCTTTCTGACCAATGGAAACTTACAGTTCCGCACCAGATGTGCTCATCTTTGGGGTCGTTTCTGGCGAACCAAAGTGCCTGTGAAGGTGTGTGCTGAGTGGCATCCCAAAGGCTGGCATACAGGACTGAGCAGTAAAGTCAGGGAAATCCTTTCTGAGGATAAAGCTCCACTGGAATGTGCTTGTGAGGACACGTCAGAACACTGTGACTTGACCGTTTGTCCATACAACAAATGTGTACACCTGAACGCAGGAATATCCTGAAAGCTTCAAGCTTCTTCAAAGCTGCTCCTTTTCTAAGGGAAGTCTTAAGTCATTAAAGCTGAAGGCTGAAACCCTTTCATACTATATATGGCATTTGTGCCAGTGGTAGAAAGCGGAGTGTATTTATAACGCTAGTTTGCTGCAGGAATAGGGATTGGGAACAAATGTTTGTTTGGATAAAATCCAGCTCCAGGGATTGGTTTTACTGCTGCATGTAAAATCCGTAGCGAGCTCGTAAAAGCAGCAGTGGAAGAATCTAATAGGGTCTTCTCCATGGAAAAAACACGGATTTGGTGTAACGTTATCTAGCTGGAGAGTCACTTGTGATGGTTCACGTCGCAGCCAGTGACCCTGTGCGTGACGTGCGGGCTGTCACGTTGGAATGCAGGGATGCTCTGGGGCTGTTTGCACACACTGGGACTGTTGGTCTTACGTGGCAGCACGTGCTGCTATTTTTGTATATACTCTTAATTTCTTTAGAAATACCTGTCTGTGCCCTAAGTAGGTATTTCATGACCATTGCAACTATATTCTTAACAATTTTGCATAGCATTGACATGAGCAAATCAAGCCATAAAGCAAGCTGGGCTGTTTTACATACTGTTGATAAATATTTGAATGAAAACAGTTGGCAAAAAAAGGAGGACACAAGTGTCTTTGGGTGTGTTGATTTAACCATCTCCGTTCAGGCCAAGTGTTCTGTTTTATTTGCCTAATGTTAATCCTTTCTATTGCTGTATGTTGAGCCTCTGTGGGATAATGACCATTCGGACTAAGAACGCTCATATCCAAAGTCATAAAATACTTGTATTTTGTTTTGTTTTCTAAAACTGCTGTCTTTGTTGTTGTTGAAGGATGTTCAGAAGGAGAGAGAACCTCATGTGTATCTCAGTAAAGAAGAAATTAAAGAGAAGATACAAAGCTATAATTCATCTGTCACTGATAAATTAAAGATGACCTTGGTAAGTTTTGCATAGGATTCCCGTAATTTTTAATAGGAGCAATTGAACTGTAACTTTGAGGTGTGCTGTTAATCATTTTATTCTCAGCATCTTACATATGAAACTGTCTCTGTTTTAATGACTCTGTAAGAGGCTCTTTCTTCGATCTGGAAATGAAATCTCACATCTGAAATGTTTTTATGTGGCTCTTTTGTATGGATCAAAACAAATAGTAGTAGAAACAAATGTTTATGTCATTTGAAACATGTTTAAGATAGACATATCTTTATGTTTACCACCTGAGGGTTTTCATCTGACAAATACACATCTTGGTGTTTATCTTGTTTGTGTAGATAATTTTTTGTCATGTATTTCTCGGATAAAGATGCTCAGCCAAGTTAAAAACCAAGTTAAAAATCATGCACTATTTATTATAGGAGACTTAATTTTCAGAGTAGTCATACAGGTTTTCAGCATGAGGAGGCTTCCTTCCCCCCGCCCCCACAACACAGACAATTCAGGCAATGGAACGTATATAGATTTTTCATTTCCAAGGATTGTGGACCAGGTCTAAGCCTCAGTCCAGCCTATTGCAGTCTGTACTAATAAAATTCACATTTATCTGCCTAGCAAGCTGTTACTCAGACGTTGCATTGTCCAGATTTTTCTCATACATTATGTATTCCTGTGGGTGTATAGTATATGGAAATTTGGAAATTCCATTATATCCTAAACCATGTAAGTACAACTATGTACTAAAAAGACTTCTGTTACGTATTTGTATGTGGGTCAGGACTTACCGTGCCAAAACCCAGATGGCCTGAAGTTTTCTAGCTCGTAAAAGGTTTGATCAATTTTGCTATTTTGTCTTTCAGAAGCAGCTGGGATAAATAATTTGGAATGTTGATTAGATTGGCATTTATTCTGGTGCTTTTTAAAATTGCAACAGGATTTGAGCATCTAAATGCTTTAGACTAATTTGACAAGCACAGCTAAAATGTGGGAGATAATTTCTGTGTTTCTGCATAAAGTCTGCAGATGCATGCTAGTGGCCTTTTTCACTTCATAGTTTTCTTCTAATGTGAAAAGTTATCATTAGTTTGTAGTACCTTTTACCTGATGAGATTCTAATACTCTTATAATTCAGTAGTTGTTATTATTTGGGAAAAAAAATATTCAGCAGAAATACCATAATAATAGTAATATAATCACAGAATCACAGAATGATATGGGGTTGGAAGGGACCTCTGGAGATCACCTAGTCCAACCTCCCGGCCAAAGCAGGTCCACTTAGAGCAGGTTGCACAGGAACGTGTCCAGGTGCGGTTTGAATGTCTCCAGAGACGGAGACTCCACCACCTCTCTGGGCAGCCTGTTCCAGTGCTCTGCCACCCTCAAAGTAAAGAAGTTCCTCCTCATGTTTAGATGGAACTTCTTATGTACAAGTTTGTGCCCATTTCCTTTTATCCTGTCGCTGGGCACCACTGAAAAAAGACTGGCCCCTTCTTGTTGACACCCACCCTTTAAGTATTTATAGGTGTTGGTCAGTCTTCTCTTCTCTAGACTGAAAAGACGCAAGTCCTTCAGCCTTTCATTGTAAGAGAGATGCTCCAGGCCCCTAATCATCTTTGTGGTTTCTCTGCTGTACCCTCTCCAGCAGTTTTCTGTCCTCCTTGAACTGGGGAGACCAGAACTAAATAATAAATGCCTGAATTGTTGAAACAGTATCTTTCCTGTGAGATGTCACGTATTACGGTGGCATTTAAGTTATGTTCACTGTGACCATTTTGACTTGCCTGCTCCACTGACATGTCACAACTGGTCATGACTAGTTTTAACAGTTTGGTGCTTTCCTTCTGCTGCAGAACGCGAATGGGATTTACACTGGCTTCATCAAAGTTCAGCTGGAACTATGCAGACCCATCACTGTGCAGTCTTCCCAGAGCCAGGGGAGATGTGCTCACAGCAATAATGAAACTGCTTTTTACCTGCCGGACGGCTGCGTGAACACCCTTCACATCAGCAGCACCAACACCGTTCGTGAAGTTATCGAGGCCTTGCTCAAAAAGTTTTTCGTGGCTGACAACCCTGCAAAGTTTGCACTTTATAAACGCTGTCACAAGGAAGACCAAGGTATGAGTTAGGCTGGTGGCATTTTGGTGGCGAAGGGGCTTGGGGAGGGAGTTGTGTAGGAGCACTTGAAATAAGTAGGGTGGAAGAACTCGGATAAATGGAGGTGACAATCTTGCTCTCTCCTGTCTTTTCTCCTTACGAAAAGTAGCGTGTGTAAGGGAGTAAATGATCTGGGGACATTTCAGGATAATTCACAAAAGACAAAGTAACCTACTAACCCATCTACGTAGATCTGCTGTGCTTTGCAGCCTGTTGTATTTTATTTAATATGCCCCTTTGTCAGGCTCTGAATTTCAGCTGGCCTGATACACTGCAGATTTGTGAGATAATAATCTCAATAATCTCCATAATTTTAAAAAGAGAAACCTTGGTGTCTGTGATATCTGAAGTCCCTGCACTGGGAAACAGCTCTTGGGCTGACAAGCGTCATGGGTACATGCCTTGTTTTCATTTGTGTTAATTAGTGCCCATGGCTCTCCCAGTGCACTGACTGCTGTTAGATGTTGTTTGTATGTTGTGTTTGGAAATAACCAGAAGGTGCAAAAGGTGTTCTTAGTGAAAAGCACGCTTTGCCAACGTTGTGTTCTTGCACTTAGAATCCGCCTCCTTCCATGGACATTGAGAGCAGTTTCAGGAGTTCAGATGTTTCTGGCTGTCGGTCACACCAACCGTGTCAGGCAGAGTTCTCTTTTAGACTTTGTGTATGAGATTTTAAGTGGGAAAGGCATCAGTGGTGATACCACAGCTCTGATGCCTCAAGTGCTTAGTTATAGCGACAGATCCGTGTTGTATTTGTTTTGTGTGGTTTTTTTTCCCCGGCATGTATTCAGGTGGTGCGCTGTGGTGACTAGAGGCCTTTTCATTCCTGTGTGAGTGTAGTGTCGCGCTGTTACCATCAGTCGTCTGCTCAGCTTCTCCCTAAAACTCATTTGCTCAAAACCAGTACGTAGGCTAATACGGAGAATGTAGGCTAGTATGTAGAATGTGTAAATTTTGTGGCCACACGTGCTTATCTCTGACATTTTCTAACATTAGCTGGTGTTAATTATTCAAAGCGTTTGAGACGCCATTAGTAAAGATGATAATTACTGTGATTTTTTTTCTTCTCCTGCAGTTTATACATGCAAGCTGTCAGACCGAGAACATCCCCTCTACCTGCGTTTGGTGGCAGGCCCCAAAACAGAAATGCTCAGCTTTGTTCTACGTGAGCATGAAACTGGAGAAGTCATGGTATGTTACGCTCCTGCTGCTTTTGTGTGTTTGTTGAACTTCATGGATGAGTGCGCTCCTGTCTGATCCCTGTTGACAAGACGATCCATTTTTTGGAAACAAGTGGTTTTTTTCTTCTTCTTGTTATATTTACTCTGCATGTTTTGTAAACGTTTCATTTGTGGTTAGACTGGCCTGTTGTTACTTGCAGAACAAAAAAACAGTTAAAAAGAGTGAAATGTTTTTAAGATTGGCAAGGAGTTTGCCTGATACCATTTCAGTTTGAAATTGTTTTGAGCGTCTGAGGTTTTGTTTAAAAATACTGTATATATAAATAATTTGTCTATTTTCCGTTCATCTCATCCGTCCTTTCTTTTCTCTTTTTTTCTGTCTCCAGTGGGAAGCTTTTAGTATTCCCGAACTGCAAAACTTCTTGCGTATACTGGACAAAGAGGAAAACGAGCAACTGCAAATCTTAAAGAAGCGTTACGCAGCTTACAGAGACAAACTTGAAGAAGCCCTTGGTGGGGTGTGGAAACCTGGTTAAAAGGGGGCCAAAGGACACTCAGGAAAAACGCACGCTACCAAATGTCAGTATAGCATGCCAAACCCAATGTACAAAGAGCAGCAGAGAGTAGTTTTCTTTATTCGGAAGACTGTTTTGTGATGCCAGGGTACCTGAATTTTGCTATAGACTTAGTTCCGTAAGCCAGGTCACTTAGCATCTTGCACCCACAAGTAAGGGATTCTGCATGTTTGTACATCAGTTTGCAACCCTCTGTGTGCCTAGAGAGTCTTTCCAAGTTACCTTGGTGCAAGCTGTGAAACTGTAATAAATTTTCTAGGATGCTATGAAATGAGATTTTTATGGGGTTTTTTTCTTCTTTGCTTTAATGGTAGCTTTACAAGTAAGGATGTGCAAATTGATGGGTTAAAAAAAATGAATTAAACTGTCTGGACAAGAATTAGTTGGAGCACTATCTTGATTTGCACTACCTTTCTGTTTTCAAATAGTTACTGTATAATTTGTGAGAGAACTGTTATAGATGGAAGGCATATGAGATCTTTTGATTTGTTCTGTTAAATTTGTGGAAGGCGTTACGGTTTTTTTCCTGGAGAAGGTAAAGAGGAAGTTGAAAAGAAGGTAAGAGTTGAGGGACGAGGTATCGTAGTAGCTGTCAGAGGAGGACTGGTTTTAAATGGGAATAGTATTTATACAGAGGCAAGTTAAAATACTAATTCTACAGGATTAAAGTTTTAGGATGTTAGAATATTGTGAATAAGTTTTATGGTTTTTATACTGCATAAATCCACACTGGAAAAGAAATACAGATAATAGAAATAATGGGAAGGAATGAGAGGCAAAAGCTAAAAAGGAATGGAAATGAAGCTGCACATACAAGTTGTTATTGGAGAAGCTGATTCCATAAATGCATAGTGGGGGTTTGAAAAGTGCAGTGAAGCTAAAAAGCTGCTTACTTGAATTTAGAAAAGCAGTCAATGTCTCAGATAACTCTGTGAGAAATGCCCGTCTAGCGAGTGTTTAGACATAAGCTATAACTACAGACGCATTTGGTCTTTACTGTAAGTCAGATCTTTCCTCTGGCTCAGCAATCCATTTTTAGGCTGGATAATTTTGAATTATCATATCTGAAAGACAAAAATAGCTTCCTCTGCTTCTTTGCTTGTTAAAGGCTCAGTCAGGCAAAGAAAGTAGAATTATTCATGTTTCCAGCTTAGCAGAAAATTAACATTTATTGGCTGTGTTGGTGACTGAGCTTAGTAACTCTTGCTTTTAGTAATTCAGAAGGTTTTTTCTTTGTGGTTTTTAAATTCTTAATTGAAAAACAGATTACCAAATTCTGCAGACTGCTGATTTACTTGATTTAAAAGTAGGAAAAATGTAGCAAGAAAGTTTTTTACTTTACTGTAAATATAATTGTTGTTCTTTCAGAGTTATTTATCTTAAAAAGCACGTTCAAAAGAAACCAAAGAAGTGGGTGTGCAATAGAAGCATGAGGCAAATTTGAGTAACTAATCCTTTAGTCATTATCATGCCAGAGAGGAAATGAGTTATAAATTTGGGGGTAAGGAGGTGGGTGGAGGAGTGCTAATGATTTAAGAGAAGCAGAAGTTGTTGGGGTTTTTTCCCTCCACTCTTTTAGGGTGTTCGTTTTAAATTCCCACGGAATTGTTAAAACTTTGGTGACATCTAATGGATACTGTGTGAAACTTCAAGATGCTTCTGTTCTTCCCCTTAATTTGATGTAATTGTGCCTTTGTTTCCTTTCCTTAGTAAGACTTTTTTTTTTTTTTTTAAACTCTTCACAGGTTTTTTGGTAAAAAGAATTTGCAAGCTTAATGAGGCAATCATAATGTTTTAAAGTGTTAAGAGAAATTAAGAGTAGGACTAACTATAAAGTATATATAAGGCATATCTTGTTTGTTTTTTAATTTCACATGTAACATTGTAGTGCATGTGTGAGTTAGTAACATTATCCTCAAGTGAGACACTTTATAATGGTTCAGGGAATGCTTTTATGTTTTGTTACAATTTGTTTTTCTATGAATGCAAGCAGCATGTCGGTGGGTATTCTGTTAACATCTACTTAATTTATGTATCTGCCCGTAACTATGTAAGCATTACATAATCGCTGTCAGTAATGAACCATTTGTCGCTCAGATTTAAACACTGTTTGAGTTTAAAAGTGGAGTATAAAAATATGTGAATTTTGTTTTTACTTGAACTAAACTATCAGTCTTTTAAGTAGGCACATCTGCATTTACTTTAGCCAAAAACCTCAATCAGTGTTGTATGCACTATGAGTCTTGATTTGGGGTGAAGGGGAGGGGGTGGGGGACCAAAATAAACTTATATTTTAATTTTGTCATAGTCCACAGTTAATTATTGTAAGATGTCATGTGTGGGGTTAATTTTTTTTTTTTTTAAACACTGGCAATTACAACAGCTTTAATTTAAAAGGATGCCTAGTCAGTTTTTATCTTTTAATTTTTGCATCAAATTGAACTGTCACAGCTTTTGTTGCAAAACTGTTTTCATTTCATTGTATGATGGTACCAGAATGATTAAATGATATGGGGGGGAGGGAGGGGAAATGCAGGGGAACATTAAAATGTATGTCTTTAAAAACAAACATTTAAACTATTTATAATTTTGACAAGCTTAGTTTTATTTTTGTAGGGAAGTTTTTATTCCCCTTAAAGTTATTACTGAAATGGCAAAAAAAAGAAAAAAAAAAATTAAAAACGTGATGGTTCCATTATTAAAGTTGAAGTTGGCAATACTTAGTTTTGTGATGTGTGGTTTGCTTTTTCTCCCCTTACCTGCTGTGATCGCTTTGATGCCTCGTAGCAATAAATCGCGTGAAGAGATGCAACTTACCTTAAATTAAGGTTTGATTGGAAAAAACAGGTACATTTCAGCCCGTGTGTACCAGTCATACTTGTTTGCGTACCTGTTTTGTCTCCTGGTTGTGGTAAAGACAGAAATCATAATACAGGAAAAAAAACCAAGCAAACAATAACTAAAACCAACCAAATAACTTTGAAATTTACACACAGGCTTTGAAATTTACCATTTTCTTCACCACATTTACCTTACACTCAGGCCCGCCCCCTCGTCCCCGCCCGGGCGGCGCTGAGGGGAGCAATGGCGGCCTCTGGGGCTGCCTCCTCCCTCAGGAGGGCGGGCGGGCGGCGGGGAGGGAAACGGAGAGGGCCTGAGGGAGGCGGGGCCGCCATGTTTTACCTCGGGGTGACGGCGGGTAGGGCAGGGCCGGAGTGGGGCTTTCCTCTGTCACAGAGGTGCCTCCGCCCTTGAGGAAGCGGAGCAGCGGCTG